TGCTGAACACAAGACTGGGAGCCTAAATGCCTGAAGTCTATTCCCAAATCTGTCAATCACTGCAGCAGCTCCAAGACTGAGAAATCTTGCATTGGAACATGATTGCACACTGGGAGGATGGTGCAATTTTATCTTCCTACAACTTTTGACATCCTTGGGCAAGGCAGTTGACTTTGCACCTCAGTCCACTTAGCTGGGTTGTTGAGGTCCTGGTTTCAGTGCAACAGCGAGTATCAGGATAGTTGCATTTGAGTCTGGAGCTATGGAGCTTAGTGCTGTTTGTTGCTGGGCTTGGATTTTGGTGCTGGATCTAAAATATGGCTCGGCTGCTGGGTTCTGCTTTTTCAGGAAACAGCAAATCTCTGAATTCTGCTCTGTAGATCAGGCAGAGACTAGATCCCACAGTGCTGTTTAGCAATGCTAATGTTAAGCTCTTGTTAGATGTATAATATGGTGACTTAAAACTATCTGGCTCAGATACCATGAACAAACTAATGATTTAGAAGCCTGCCTTTTCCTCTCGGCAAACTCCTCTGCCGATGATCAGGCAGAACGCTGCTGCTTTGCACATGTTCATGAGTCTTGCAACCATTACTGTAATGATTTAACTCATTTTCTCCCCTTCCAATGGAAGTGGCTTCACTGAGCTAGAAAGACCAACTCAGACTGTTTCCCCTGTCACTTCTCCAGTTGTAATCTCTTCTGAATACACCCACAAGCTGGCATAGACTAGTTTCATGCCACTGCTTTGGAACCAGAAGGTAATTTAAGCATGTGACCACTTTTACATGTTAAGGAGCACCAGCATGTGAAATCAGCTGTCAGCATGTCATTAAACTCATACGGACTGAGCTGTGTCAGTCCCACTACTCAAGCGATGCAGGACTGGCAATGTACAGAGAACACGGAGACGTTGCAGAGCGAAGTATGAACAGCTCAGAGGGGACTATGGTAACAGAGGCTTTTAGAAATGTCTAAATATCATAGTGCTTGAGGGGAAAGGAGCACAATGTCTTGATTAGCATTTTCAAAAGCAGCAGCATTCATGGGCCTCTCCCATCCCATGCAATTTGCATTATCACTGCACGCACAAATGGACAGGTGCTGGGGGCAGTAAAAGGAACAGGGCTGAGAGAGATGGTACCTGTGCGGCATGTCTAGTTAGCTCAGTCCTGATGCTCTCCTTTTCCTTGTTTATTTCTATTTCTGTCAATTTGTACTTACTGAGCTTCGGAGGCAGATGGGATCCTGCAGACACTGCTGTGACTGGCTCCCAGCAGCCTGTCCCCTTTTTTTACAGAAAAAGCAGCTAACATTCAAACTAAAGAGACAGTACAGTGTCAAAGCCGCTAACCACTAATCCTCTATTGTTACGCATCTGTGTTCATGCTCTATGACGTGAAGAATCCCGGCATAGATGTCAGCTCAAAAAGAGCTGCTGCTTCCAAAATAGTGCAGCTGTGGCTAACCTTACTGCAAAGTGCTGAAAAGAAACAGTAGTCCTGAAAAAAACCCATAGCAATATAAAGTAGGCATCTTCTCCTGATCTGTTCTTGGCACAAAACTGTAGGAAGCAGAAAGACTGTGTGTATTATGGGGCATATCAGGGAAACCTTCAGCAAATGGTGGCTCAACAAATGTCGTGAAAGCTAAGATTGATTGGGCTGCAAGTGGAAAGTTATAGGCTATTACAAAAGTACATGGCAATGTTTTCGGTAGAACACTGTGTAGTACTAGCACGACATTTTGTACTTGAAATAAACCCATCACTTCTTGATAAGATACAAAGACAGACCACTGTCAGTAGGATTGGATGTTTGCATGCATATATAAAATGAGTCTCCAGCAAGCAAGTGTTCAAATGCTTTACCTAGGTCTAGTCTATGGGATTTGGATTACAAAAAGATATCCTGATTTGGATCTTTGCTAGATTCCCTGAGCAAAGTTGGCTAGCACTTTGGATTAGAGAGTTTCTTCTAAATGATTGTCGCTGGGAACTCCAGTCATATTCTGATATAAATCTCAAGTGGGGAAGGCTAGTAGATTACAATATTAATCCAGCATAATTCAGGTGATCTAGTGCTAGCCACTCGGGGCATTGTCTGCATTACGGAGCTTCTACTGCTGTAGCTATGTCAGCATAAACCTTTAGTGCAGATTCATTGTATGCTGACAGTTTTTCTGCCAAAGTAGTTATACCGCTTCCCAAAACAATATAAGCTCATTTCAGAGAAAATGGCAAGTATCTTGTGTAGACGCAGCTTTAGCCACATCAGGAGTTTTGCTACCATAGTGTGTCAATGAGTGGTGTGATCTTTTCACACCCAAAGCTGACATGGCTGTACCATTGGTCTACTCTAGCTCTAGGTTTAATTTAATGTAAACCTGTCCTTGGTCTACTCTAGCAGAAAAGACTGAGCTGCAGTTCCAGTTCTTTATACTAACCGTGCTGCTTTTGTGCTGTTAGATATTTCCTACAGCCAGTGCGAGTGGCTCATTTCAGTGAGCAGGTTGTTCGTTGCAACCTATTGCAGCACCCTTCATCACACTTGTGTTCTGTAGTCAGCTTCAGCTGTAGGTATATTAAAATGAATTGACTCAAGAGAGCCGTGTATGGGTATGAGGAGGTAATAAAGCATATATGAATGCAACAGTAAATCAGAAGGACTGTCTGTCCTGGGAGAGACTTAGCCCATGAAAGTAGCTGCAGAGATCTTTGTCGTATGTTCTGAGACTGCAAAAGGCTCCAGTTGATCCTCTGCCTTCCTGTATATTAAACATCAAAAAAGTTGTTAGTACTTTTAAATGAAGCTCTCACTGCTTTAGAAAAGAGTGATGATGGACTCCTTAATTGCCTGCTTTCTATCAGGTTGAGTAGGCACAGCGATGAGCCTGTCAATCACTTGCTCATTTCCATTTCTCTTACACCCCAAGTGCAAAGCACCTCAGGACTCTGCTGAGAAACTAAGTAACAAAATACATGCTAGAAATTGGTGTGAGGCTGGAAGAGCTGCAGGGGGGGGCGGGGAGGGGCACCTCTCCCCACCTGATGAAAATAGGAGACTCCCACATCACTCCAGCAACAACTTCTGCAGGTGCCACATCTGTGCGACAGGAGGATCAGGATCATCACGATGACGAAGGACCTTGGACAAAGCAGGGTGGGAGATTATCAAGAGTGAAGCACTGACCATGTACACATGCTTAATGGGGAATGTGCCTGCTGTTATCAGCAGCTTTAAATATTAAAAGTAAGTCACCACTGATCCACGATGAGAACCACTTCTTCCCAGAGGTCCAACATTGGAACTGGGAACAGTTACTTTCTTGTTTAAGAATGGGTGGGGGAGGAGGCAGGAATCTCAGGGGCCTGATTCTCACTGCGGTGACCATGTCAAAGGATTTTGAAGTGGGTGAACTATTAAGGGGCCTTAGTATAAACAAGAACCAGACCCCAAGGCATGTAGCCTGTTTCTTTGAATTACGATGGTCTGCCCTCCTGTTCCAGTTCGTCGTGCCAGAGCCATCTCCTTTCTCTTTCTTCTCTTAGGGCCTCCCTTAGATGACTCTGTCAGTAGGAACACTAAAAAAACCCACCCTCCCACTCAGCAAATGCAGTTATGAAAGCTTTCCCGGCACTTACAATGGGACTGATTCCTTCAATAGCTTTATTTGACAGCACCTGCTACTGAGACTGAGAAAGTAATTGAGTTGTAATGTCTTAGACTGATTGCTGTTTGTTCAGGTGGGATGTTGTGGATTACATTTTTACGTTAACAGTTGAATATTGAAGAAATGTTTTTAAGTTAAGAGTCAGAATGTAGGCAAACCCTTTTCAGGCAGGCTTGGAAGTAAAGGGCATTTTCTTCCGTTTCGTTAGGCAATTCTGATGGAACAGGGCCCCAAGATGAACTTACCAGCATGGTACTAGATCAGAGTTATGTCCACAGGTCTAGAAATGAACTGTATGAAAGAGAGAGGCTGTATGTACATGAAATGCTACTGCTGTTGAAGGTGAAAGGCTATGCATATATCGTTCCATACTCTCCCCAGGAAAGGAATCGTAGGACCTCACAGTTTAGCCTCCTGTGTATATAGCCATGTAAAAAAAAATAAGTTTCCACATTGGACCTATAGCGTATACCTAATTATTTAAAACTTAAGGACCAAATTGCAGCTAGTGTTCTTAAAAGTGCCTGCTTTCCCATGCATGCCAACGACACCTGAATGCTCTTAGTCATATTCCTCATCATAAGATACCCAGATGGCTCCTCCCTAGAAGCTGATGGTGCTGACTCGCAGCCTGCAGAAATCCCTTACCAAGCTAATGGCTCCATTGTGTCAGGCACTGTATGAGCACATGGAAAGAGAGCTGCTGCTCTGAAAGAGCTTATCAACTAAACATGCAAGGGGAGAGCGAGAGAGACTAGAAGGGGAGTGAGTCTCCAGCAGGTCAGTAGCTGAAAACCCAGGTCTCCTGAGCTGCAGCCCAGTGCCCTATCCCCTGGACCACTGATTAGAACAGTCATTTCAAATCCCAGCACTGGAACAAATTCCCTCTGCAGCCTTGAACAAGTCACTTCCATCAGAGAACTAGGTACGATAAGATTTGCATCAGTATGATATCATAAAGCTTAAGCAGTGTTGTAGAGCACTTTGACAATGGAAAGCACTGTGCATAAGTGAGTTGTTGCTGCTGTTTGAAAGGGAGAATTTATTTGTCCTTGTAATGAGATGTAGCAGTGGGATTTTCTGGCATATTTTCATCTAATTTTCCTGAAAGATCCTTGAGCAGGAGAAGATAAAATAGAAGTGGAGCATGCTGTACCAGATACCAGCATTGCTTTGCCTTTTCTTCTTGAGATAGATAAAAGCATTTTTACTTGGTCCTGTCTCTGCTACCAAAACAGTGTCATGTTTGTGATGCTGACAGTTAATAAGGAAATCTGGATCTCACCCTCCATACCCTTCCTCTTAAGGGCTGCCTTGTCCTGGCCTCTCAAGTGTGAATGCACATATAGATACAAAAGAGGGCTGGGTCCTCACTTGCACAGGCTCTTTGGATGATGCCAACAGACCAAACAATTCAATATTGTAAAGGCCTCTCAATTTGGCACCCGCATGATTCCAGCTTTTCCTCTAAGCCATGCTAAACTGTGTTTTTCATTTTGTATCCAAAGCTTGCAGCAAAGAATTAATTCTGGAGATAAAATGTGGATTCATCAAGTACTCCGGGGATTTACCGTGGTAAAAGGTTGTCTTTTCCACTGACCCCGGATGTAACAATCAGAGCCTCTCAGAAATTAACAGGATAAAAGGAAAAATAGCTAGAAAAGAGAACTCATCTCAATCAGGAGCTAAAAATGTCCTTGTGTTCCTACCTAAGAGATTTTGTCAGTGCAGAATATGGAAAGAGCGTTACAAGCAGCCCTGTTTTGGTGAGGTTGCAGAGAGCTAGGAAAGACTTTGTTAAAAAAAAATACTCGTTAAAGGAATTTCAGAGCAGTAGCACTTCAGCGTTGTTTCAAGAGGGCTCCGGGTCCGATGGGGCCGCACAGTACAAATGAGGATGTGAGCATGCTTTCCAGGTATATGCACAAGTGACAGTTTATTACCCTTCCCTATTTTCATGCCCTCAGACACAGAGCTACCAGTTTCCCCCTGAAATCCTGGCTTGTGAGCTGTGTGCACTAGGTGTTTAAATTTAAATTGGAGCTTCTGTATGTAATACGCACACAGCTGCAGACCACTCCAGGCTAATTTTCATGGAAAACCTACCCCCTCCTGTCATTTTTCCCCTTTCTACCCGCTGCTGACTGCTTCAGAGCCAAGCTCTTGTTGAGGATGGCAGCAGAAGAAACTGTAAGGAGGCCTGAAGCCACAAAGTGAGGCCAGCTGTGGGCTAACTTGTGAATGGATGACCTCAGTTGCTTCAAATAGTCAGCCATACCTTGTCCAGCCATACCTTGTCATGCATCCAAAGGTGCATCTCAAGCCGGTCCAGAGAGGTGATCCTCCCCCTCTATGCGACTTTGGTCAGATCACAGTTGGAGTACTGCGTCCAGTACTGGGCGCCGCACTTCAGGAGGGATGTGGCCAGCCTGGAGAGGGGTCAGAGGAGGCCACCCGCTTGGTGAGAGGGCAGCAGGACAGGCCCTACGAGGAGAGACTGAGGGACCTGAACCTGTTCAGCCTCAGCAAGAGGCGGCTGTGGGGGACGGGACCTGGTGGCTGCCTACAAGCTCATCAGGGGAGATCAGCAGCAAATAGGAAGAGCCCTTTTCTCCCCAGCACCACCTGGGGTGACGAGGAACAGTGGTCATAAGCTGATGGAGAATAGGTTTAGGTTCGAGATCAGAAGGCAATATTTTACAGTCAGCATTCATCCCTGCCTGTGGCAGGGGGTCAGGCTAGATGATCCGTTCAGGTCCCTCCTGACCCTTACAACTATGAAATCAGACCCTCAAAGATTGGGCACAGCTGAGCTCACCTATCTATTGGTTTTTACACTGTCACTCTTGTTTTCTACCTGATAAGGCTCCCAACAATGAAAGCCCTTCTATAGTGACATTCATCACCAGCCTTGTTCTCTCATTCTCTTGCAGAATAGGAAAATACCGCACAGCCAGATTTCCTTAGAAGCTGTTTAGTACAACAGCAACCAAAGTTAGTAACAGCATTTCCCGGGCAACTTTTAAATGAAAGAAATGGAATAGCCTATCCTTTTAATCCTCAGCAGCCTGCGCCATGTTGCTGGCCAGACTGCGAGGGACACATCTCTGTGATGTTTGCAGAGCATTAAGGGAGGTAAGATGCCACAGCCAGCTGTAAAAACATCTCCTTCAGTGCCCACTGCTCTCTTTGTGATCCTGTTGTCAGCTGAGAGCCCAGCGAACAGCACTCTGGGTTGATTAAATGCCCCAGGCCCATCTGGATTCAGGCAGGGGTGCTGGCAGTGCCATGAAGTGGTGTGACAAAGAAAAACCAAGAAAGCATTTTTCATACAAGTGAAAACGGAAGCACAAATAATCTGCTGTTTGCTTTTGCTCCGCAGGAGATGGAGGCTCTGGAGAGAGTTCATAGGCCAGCGCCTGTCCTCTCTTTAGCACAGATATGATGCGCCTTTAAGGATGCAGGGGACACTTAATTGCTTTTATACCTTTGGGAAAACAAGCCATTTTACAAACCTCATCACAGCAACAGGTACCACCATCACCACTTAGAATGGGTTATATAGGACATCTACTTGGTGCCTTCATTGTCTCTGGAAAGTGTGCTTGGCGGTTTTGTAGGTAGCACTGGCTCACATGGATACAGCATTAGGACACACCAGCTGCTACTGGGCACTAATTTTCTGGCTCTCTCTAGCATATCAATTAAATCTGACTTCCAGGCATTTTGCCAGCCTCCGCAGAAGTACTTTGCTTGCTGAGTGCAAGAGTTGTTTAAATTGGGGCATAATTATTCCGCATAATCACTACTGGCAGGATGTTTGATGATCTCTGAACCTGAATCTGAAACACTCCACCTTCCACCAAATTGCAGCCATCTCTGGGGTGAGGGTTGGAGACTGTTTAGCAGTACCAGCAACACTACACAACAGTATAGGACCAGAAGTGAAAGAGAATCCAGGAAGAATTTAGAGAGGCAGAATGTAATTGCCTGGCTTTACGTTTGATAATTGCCCACCTTTTAGAAGTGTTTTGCGTGTAGTTAATGATCAGCAGTCTAATCCTGTAGTCCAGCTAACCTGAGTCACTGTAGTTAAAGCAGCTTTTCTAGATAACTTGTGTCCGGTAACAACCATCTGCTTTCTCCTCCTAAAGCAAGATGCATTGCCAAGCATCTCCAGGACTCAGTTTTTGCATCAGAGCCCAGATTGATTTTTTTGTTAGGCTTTTCCTGTCTAGAGATAGAACCTGAGCCGCGTGTCAAAGGGCAGTCCGATAGCACGAGATGTTCAGTTCTGTGGCTTTGTTAAGAAGCAAGAGTGATTGAAGGGTGTGTGGAGCCCAAATCCTGCATTCACTGACCTCAGTTAAACCTGCTCAGTGAGTGAATTGGTAGTTTCAGTCCTGCTTTATATGGACAAGACTGCAAACTGCAGAAGTCACCACCAGTAAAACTGTTCGTATCCCTAGCTGATGCGTCAAGAGATCAATGGGAATGAGAACATGAGTGTCTCTTGGAGCCGTGCAGCTCTGGGAGGATGCACGTTGGTTGGAGGTTAGGGGAATGATTTGGAATTTGAGGGATATATAGATCTCTATATATAGATAGATAGGTAGATATATCTATATGTAGCACTGCTTCCCATTTTCTGTGGCTAAGAAAGATACCAGACTCCAGGACTGCTGTTCTGCCACCTTCCCCCTGCTAAAGAATAAGCTATTTTAATAATTTTGGAAGAAAAAAAAGAGCACAACCCTTGATACATGCCCCAGTCCAGACTCTTCTCTGAGCACCCAACCAGAGTATTGATTTGAGGCAGCGTGCCCCTGTGTCATCCCTGAAGCATGGCAGTTTGCATCCTCTCTGTCACCCTTCCTAGATTATGTCTCCATGTCTTAAACGGTAGGGAATACTGCATTAGAAATTTAGGCTGTCCTAGTAAATCCGGAAGGACCAGGCTTGACCAGAGGCACAGTAAATAGGTATGAAGTGTGTGTGGTATGAAATATAGGTATCTGGATGTTGACCTTATAAACAGTTGTGCAAATCGCACAGTCCTTACTCAGGCAAAGCTGCCAGTGAAATGAGTGGGCATTTTCTCTGAATAAAGATTTCAAGAGCAAACTCCAAGAGAGCGAGAATGAAGCTTTTCATTTCCTGGTTATTGCTCACTTCCACTGAAACATTTACAATATTTCAATACCATTGCTGCTTTTGTTTTTAATTTCTTCTCTATTTCCTTAAGCCAACGTGACAAGAAAATTCAGCTGTTAAGGGCAATTAAAAATGTTAATGAAACAGAAAAGGTGATTCCAGTGACACATTGCATAGATGAGTTCTTTGCTGCCCATAACACCATCTCAGCTAGCGTTGATGAGATTTTACAGTGTTACCCTAATGTGCTACTGCCATTCGTAATTGTAGATCAAATGCCACGAACAGTTACCGCTGCCGGCTAGCCTCTGCATTCGTGCCTCCTCCAGCTGTGAGCTCATCAGAGTTTCCAAGCTAAGCAGGTGCAAACCAGGTCAGGATGGAAGACATTGGAAATTGTTTGTGCTGTGGGTCGTGATGTTAATGGCACGGTAGGTGATACTGTTCCCTCTGAGTCATCGTGGATGCCCCAGAGTGATCCGCAAGAGAAAGGAGGCAAAAAACCAGAAATGCTAGAAATTGAGGGCCTGATCCTTATTGCCTCCTGTCTTGAGTCCACCATGCATAATTATGTTCTGATGCCTCAAGAAAATTCCCTTGGTGATGTCAAGTGCACACAGTATCCCTCAGCCCCTTTCCCAGAGGCCACTGTGCGATGGTGGCACTGTTGCTTCTCACTTACATTGTGATACACCTGAGTTGGGACCCCATTATGTCAGGCAGTGTACACACATCAATTAAACAGCAATCCCTGATCCTAAGGACTTACACCCTGAAAGGCAGACAAAACAAGTAGGTAGAAGGGCTGGGAAACAAAAATAATAGCCATTTTAGCCTTGACTGAGTGGATTCTGCATCTGCAGTCACAAATGCTATGTGCTGATTAGCAGCTGCGGCTTTCCACCCCAGAGATGTCTGGATATCTGGAGGGGGAAAAGGTGCGAAAAGTGTATCAGCCAGTCAGACTTGTAATCTGTTCAGGGAAATGCTGGGAGGATGAGCTCTGGAGCAGTGCAGGCTCATTATCTGATAATTGCAGCAGCACAGCTATACACCAGTGCAAAAAGCAGCAATTCACAGAAAGAACTAAAACAGCAACATTTCAGGCATAACATTAAACCAAATGTAGTGCATAATGATTCTTCTTCCTTTTTTTTTTTTTTTAAGTCCCTTCAGGCTGGTCTTTGACTTGCAGATCTGAACTGATTTGAGCCACTTTATAGGAATACTGTGGTAATTGGTGTGTGCTCTGTTTGGTCCTTAATTCTGAACTCCTCGTGGTAGAGTCTGAGCACCTTCCAGGAGAGCACTGCACGAATGACTAATATCTGCTGCCGTGCGTTTGTTCTCTCCGTTTCCCCAGAAGTGCGATCAGTGAAGTGTCCTTGATAAAGGACTTTTTGTGGCCTCGCGTATTTATATTAGGCACATGGCTCCTTTCGAAGTGCATCTGGCTTCTGGCCTGATGGTGATGAAGTCAAAGGTCTTTAATTCCTTTAGTTGTCATCTCAGATCAGTCCCCAAGAGAGTGTTGCCTCCTTCAGTCTTACTGTGGAGGGGAGCGAAGTCACTGATAACCTTCATTCTGGGGGTGCTAGGGGTTCTTTTCCACAGGTTGGGCTCAGGATGTAACAAAATAAGCTTGAAGATAAGCACCAAATTTAAAATTCTCCAGAAAGCCAGTGTAGAGAGCAGAAAATAGATTTGATGCATTGGTGGTAGCCTTTGTTGCTGATCAGATATGCTGCAGCCTTCTGTACTAGCTGGAATTTCCTAACTGCTGACGACTTTATATTCTAGTGTACTGGATTGCCATAGTCAAGCTAATAGGGGATGAAAGCATCGAGGCCAAGTCATCTGTCCTCTAGGATGAGACAGAGCCCCCCGGACACCCAGAGGTAATAGGAAGAAAGGGTTACTCAGATGCTGACATGCAACAGCGAGGAGTCCACACATTTACACCATGAACCAAATCAACTAAATGCACGGATGTGTCTTCAACCAAAGTCAGCAGCATCATAGCTGCAGATTTAGCAACTTGGAGCCCAGATGAGCTACCACCGCCCTTTAACTCAAGGTCACGTACTTGCTGCTTCTGCTATTATAATTCTGGTGTCAAGAACAAGCTGCTGAAATAACAGCTTCCCCATGAAGTACTTGATAACTTCGAGTGGGTGGATTGGTTTCTGAGTGCCTGCTGGTTCGGAAGTAGGTGTTCGCACCGGGCTCTGTGAGGAGGAGAGGTGCCTTCTGCCACTCCATTCACTTGCTCTGAGAGCTATCATCACACCGGCAGCCACCATATAATTCCCTCTTATCACTGTCTGCAATCACATCTCTTGTATAATTTCCTCTGCCACACTGAGAGTCAAGAGGCAATGCAATCCAGAACCCTTGCAAAGGAGTTAAGTACAGGCGGATGTGTCAGCAGAACTGATGAAGCTCCTCTAGAAGAGCATCTGGGATGCAGGACATGGTGTGTCAGTGCCTGTGAGCTGGGAAGCAGGTCCTCATGGTACAGCTGCAGCTGAAGGGACAGAGGAGGGCACCATCAAGCCCATGGGCCTGAAGTAGCCAGTTCCCTTTTCCTTCCCAGGGTCTTCGTATGCAAGTGACTGTTTGATTTAATGAAAACTAAGTGTGGTGTCAGGCAACAAACCATCCCGCGACTCCTGCACTAGAGGCAGAGCTTCCTTAGAGAAGATGGGGCAGAGGAGGATTGTTTGGGATCACAATATGAGGGCCCCCAAGTACTCTCTTCAGCATGGGGCCTCAGCTTTGCCAGGTGTTTTACACCAGCTGAGCTTGCAACTTGGAGAGCCTTGAAACACTGCCAGGTCCTGTTTGTTGCTGGGTCAGGAAAGGGCTCAAAAGGTGCCTCCCATGGCAGGTGAACAGGAGGCTTCCTCTGACCTAACCCACTTCAGGTGGGTGTAATTAGGGCAGTTTAGCACTTTTTACACCACCCCCTCAGCATTTTGATTCACAGTGAGTGGACCCATTTGATCTGTTCAGTAGCTCTGCATGGTCTTGTCTCAGTAGAGCTAGCAAAGCTCTTTTCTGAAGTTCACACTCAGGGTCCTCCTTTCCCTCACAACTGCAGAAAAGCCTGCTCAGATTTTGTGCGTGGTCATTTGCCATGTCTTTTAAAGCACACTTTGCACTGCCTCATTTAAATAATTCAGATTTGGATTAGCACTCTGAGTCAAGAGTTTGATTACAGCAGTCTTAGAGCTCAGTGGCATTTGGTGTGACCTGGCTGTAACTGGAGGGACTTGGAGTGCTCAGATACCCCTTTTATGGCTAAAGAAATGATCCTGCTTCAGCACCTGGCATCAGCTACGGACTGAGAGCCAACAACTCTGCATACACTTGGCATTTTGGTGGGGGCAGCCGTTTCCCATAGCCAACTGATCTGGTGCATGGACTACCCAAACCAACAGCAGTAAGGGCACACGTGAAATTCCCTTCCCTCTTCAGAAGTCTGTCCCAAACTCTCTTAGCATAAATGTCCTTGTTGTATGCTTCCTGATCTTTCCATGTTTCTCTTTATCCCTCATATTTTTTTTATACCTGTATTCTCTTTCCTCTCTATTCTCCCCTTAAATTTCAAGCACTCCACAAATACATGCGAAGGTTTATATAGGTCTCTTCCTTTTCCAGCCTTTTGCCAGTAATCCTGCTGCAAGACAACTCCAGATAACAGAAAAGATGTTTCTCTCTCTCATTTCAGAGCAAAACTTGTTCTTGCAAGTTAGGGGTTATCAAGCATTGCAGAAGGGCATGTATAACAGAGCCTTTTCCAGTCTCATGAGCACAAGTATTCAGCCAGGAATTATACCCAATTACTTTCTCGGACAGTTCCGCTGCAGACACCAAATACTTTATAAAGCTGCATGTTTCCTCCGATATCCACTATTATACATCTTGGGAAACAACACTGGCAGATAACAAGGATTAAAGCCAGTTATCCCTGGGCTAGATTCACCTCTTGCTTAGTCTAGCTGAATCTGTTAAATCAAGGCTTGCACAAATTAGAAACCTGGGACAAAAGGAAGGAAGTCAGGCTCACCTCCTTGCAGGACAGAATCAGTGGGTAGGTGGGATAGGTAATTTTACTGTTGAAACACTAAGGGGACCCCCCCGCTTTTTTTTTTAAAGGTCTAATCTTTCTTTTGCAGGGCAGTGAGTGCCTCCCTTTCACACTGCAGACCTAAACATGCAAATGTACATGATATTTGCCAAGGGGCATCCAGCCTGTTGCTCAGCCCAGCCACACACTGCAGAGTTAAGAGCTTCTGGTGCCTGGACCGTGCTATGTCCTTTCTAGCAGTCTTTATGGCATAATGCTTTGACTTGCACCTGAGGTGGGTCTGGATATAATGCCCTTCAATTAGCACCTCCATGGTAAGGCTTGGTTGAAAGATGATTGCACTGTGATTAAAAGAGGGTTTTTACCTAAATTCAGTCTGTTTTTAAATGGGGAAGGAGAGGGGATACAGACTGAATGATTTATTTCACTCCTAGGAATTTATATCTGTGTGAGGGCTTCAGTCAGAAATGTAGCTCAGTTGGCTTTACCTGAAAGCATGCTATGGATGAATGCAGTCCCTTAATCTTTATTCTGTCAGCTTTTGTAGCAGGAATAGAAATATTAGCAAGAAATACTGCTATTAGCTTTGCAATTATATATGTTTTTAAAAGATTAACCCCAAAATGCCCCCCCCCACACACACACACACACACACCGGTGAGAGTTTTTTATAAATTCTTCTGAACTATGGAAATTTAAGAGTGTATCTCTATTGCCACTGAAGGGATGATTGCAGTTGTCACATTTTGGTCCATTTAAAACTCGCTCCAGCTCCTGATGTCTTGAACAGGTTGCCTTTCTGCATTTCCCATACGTTTCCCCGCATCCTAAGAACTTGTCATTCATGTGATCAGTATTTGCTTTAATGCTAAAAGAAAGGATTTTAACTCTTAATGAAGTCGACCACAACAATGAAGTCACTGATAGAAACTCCTCAGTATTTAACATAATGCTTTGCCACTGCACTTCAGTCCCAACTCCCCAAACTTTGATTTTTTTTCACTACTGCAGCTCCACTAATTCATCTCGAGTGCATCCTTGTATTGCTCTTCCTATTCCCGTCCTGGGTCTTTTGGATGTGAAGGTTCAGAGCCCAGGGCCTGACCATGTCCTGGAAAAGACTAAGTTGCCTCTCTTCCAGTGATTCTCAACCAGAAGAACATGCAAGCCATGTCATTTTAGTGTTGTTAGTTGTGCTAACATAGTTCAGAAGATGAACCCAGAGATTTCAAGTAGGAATCCGTTGTATTAAAACCATTCTGACCTGCTGTGCTATTTCTGAGTTCTTTGCAACAGCAGACTTGCACTATATTTTTTTTTAAGTGAAAAAGCAAGTGAAAACTAAGATCTGGCATTTTCCAAGGGGTTCCTTGAGGCTAACACAGGGCGCCTTGAGTCCAAAAAGGTGGTTGTGTTCCTGCTTTGCCTGGTGTACTTTACACCCTCAAGCGGCAGGTCTCAGGCGGCAGGCAGAAACAATTTCATGGCCAGAGTGGTCTTGCCAATTTAATGGAGACTAATTCTTTTTAGTGACAGACAGGCTGGCATCACTTAGAAAGCCTACAGCCAGCCACGCACTGCCTCTCAGAAGAGCAGAATTGCACGTGTCCTGAGATGGCACTGATGATGACTGGCTGGAGGAATTTAGAAGAGAGATGTTGGGGAATACCTTTATGCTTTCTCTTGTCATTTGTTGCTATCCACAGAAACCTGGCAGCAGACCTCACACTATTCTCAGACTCCAGAGTTGCTAATTCAGCTGTTTTCATGAACAAAAAATGTCACTGACACGTTTATAACGAAGCATAACCTAAATAAATGGCCCAGCAATGAGTAAAGGGGTTTATCTCGGTGTCCAAACTCTTGAGATGCTTGCATTAGCATTGTCTTTGTACGCACAGTATTCGGGGCACCTGTGAAATGAAAGGAGCTTTCTAATAATAAGATGCACAGATTCTCCGAGCTCCAAAAACTGTAATTAACTTAATTAACTCCTCCCATCCCCACACAAAGTCATTGTTCTTAATTGTCATAGACGGTGTTTGTTGGAAAGAAACAAAGGCAAGCACATAATTGCAGCTCCTCCAAGACAGTGACTTGCCGCCTGCCAAAGCAAGGCAGCCCTGGCCTGTAATTTTAGCTCCTGGGGTATTTTTTTCCTGCATGATAAAGTTGCTCCCTGGGTGTTACAAGCAGGAAGAAAATCAAAGAGGTGACATTTTCAATCATACAAGTGACCTGGTGTCCTGCAAGCTGCAGAGAGTGCCTGCAGTGTCGTTGCCAGAGCTGTGCACTTCTGCTACGGCGCTGTAATCCTCGCCAGATCCAACAGATCCCTCATCAACCAGAGCAGGAGGAACTGATCACAACCCAGCTGCTGTGCCCTTTCTTCTCTCTGTGTGCACGTAGCTGGGAGGCTAAGGGACCTTCCGTCTGAGTGCTTTCAAATTACACTGATCAGCAAAGAAAACACCTGTGCCAGTCCCATGTGCTGGGTTTCTGTTAGAGCTTGAACCCGCACCTACCAGTGTCCCTGGCGCAGCTCCTGTTGAAGTCAACTGATCAGGAGCCAGACCGTTTACACTTCAGCTAGTGCCTGAGCAGCTTTTGCTTGATTGTAAGAAAATCTGAGATGAGCAGAGTCCTACAGCATCAGATACTCCTCCTTCACCAGGCGGTATTGGGCTAAAAGAAAAACAGCTCCCTTCTCTTCTCGTGGATATTCACCCCTTCTCGAACTAGACCCTCAGCTGGAAGAAATCCTGTATGGCCCTTTTGCACTCACGAATTAAAGCAAGGTCTCCTTCCTCTTGGCTCATTTCCCTACCTCCATCATACTGCCTCTCAAGCGTCTACCTGAGCCTGCAGGCAATCGAAAGACATGCTTTGCATTCCTATAGCTCAAAACCTTTAAGGAAAGCTGTACCTATATCTTTCTCTGATGTGAAAGGCTGATCTCTGCTCAAGGATCCTGTCTTGTGCACACATTAGTGCTTTATCTGTTTCTTCCCAGAGCTGGGTGGGGAAAAAAAACTCCATGCAAAGTCAGTTGAGTGGAGCTGTAAGAACAGCCACAGTCTGCAACTAATGCAGGCAGCCGTATAACTGCAGACTGATTCTGTTATCATCACTTTTCAGACGCACGGATCGGTATCCTCTATCCGCCTCCACCTGGAACAGCTGCCGTTCATCCAGGCAGCAGCATCCAGGACATACGGCCCATCTTGTCTTTACACAGATCCCCCCACAGTGTGTTTGATTTCAGACCTCGGGACAGCATTTGGGATTGTTTTAAAAGGTCCTGCAAATTAAACTTGTGTTTTTATGACCGTAACCAGAAGCATTTATTGCACTGAACACATAAGAGCTCAATCTGAATTTAATAGGCACGGCTGGGTCTTTCCAAGGACATTT